GGTTGTTTCTTGTTGGTGCAAACTGTCCAAGCTTTTCGCAGGCACACCGACTCTGACCGAGTAAGCAACCTGATCGAACAGGTGTTGTGTGATTGGAATGAGCTCCCAGCCAGACCCGGCCCTAGCCATGTCCTGCTCGAACGACTGCATGCCATCGGTTGGAAATGGTTGAGGAACGGTTGGGTCTTAGACCATGACACCCAACCCCTCGACCTCCTCCAGGGTAGCCACACAGAGGTTCACCAACGATTGCTTGAAGGCTGGCAGAACTAAGCACAAGTCTGCGCTAGCAAACGCAAAACATTCCAGGGCATGGAGTGGGTAGATGCCTCGTTTACCTTAGAAAACATGGCCAAGCTTGGCCCACACAAAGCAGGCCTCTTGCGTAAGGTATTAAATGGCACCTTCTTCACGGCCGATACTCAGACCCATAATCAAAAGGCGCATACTCTCAATTGCAAGTTTTGTGGAAATCCTGATTCCCAATTTCACCGCTTTTGGGAATGCAGCCATTTTGATAGCTCTAGACCACACCCGTGGCTCACAGCCAAGATCCTGGAAGGGGGGCTCCCCAAATGTCTCACGTTCCACGGATGGATGGGTGTGCCTCAGTCGGTTCGTGATTTCCAGCGCATGCTTATGGAACAGAAGCCTCACACCGGTTGGTTTGAGCCGGTTCCCTTCCGCGCCGTTGACCTGTTCATCGATGGTTCCTGCGCCAACCCAACTTGCCAGTACACCAGGGTTGCAGGCTAGAGTGTGATAGCCGCGGATCCATCTGACACGGACCGATGGTGGCCAGTTGCACAAGGCCTAGTCCCAGGTCGACGACAAACTAGTGGAAGGGCCGAAATCCTGGCAGCCATCAGTGCAGTGCGGTATGTGATCACTCAAGACCGGCCAATGCGAGTGTGGTGTGATAACTCCCAAGTAGTAAGCATGCTCCAGGTGGCCTTGCATGACCCCGCTGCTTGCAGAGTCCACCGAAAGGACCAGGATCTCTGGTATGAATTACTTGCACTTGCCCGCACGGTGCCATCTTCGTTAGGTGCAGTCATAAAGATAGCTAGCCACCAGGAGAAAACCAATCTCCACTGGGTAGATCTTTGGGCCTTTGCAGGAAACGACTGCGCTGATCATGGCGCCCAGTGGGGCACATTCTACCCCCACGAAGTGCACAGTAAGTGGCGACAAGCTGTCGCAGACCTAGCGGCGGCCAAAGTCTTGAGAGACCAAGTGCATGCCACCATATTGCAGGTTAGTGAAGATGCTGTCACCAAAGACTTACCAGCCAGCGCAGCTGATCCACCTCAGACAGCGCATCCGCTCCCTTTGTTGGAACCGACCTTGCCGATACTCCCAATGCGACCACAGACGATCACAAACAAGCTCGTCGGCCAGGGCTGGGAGAACATTTCCACCTGGTCGCGCAGCCTGCAGTCGCCTACAGCGCCGATTGTTCATATTCCCTGGCTGTACACCTTGATAGACTTCGTCTTGACCACAGATAGTGGGGGCATCCGGCCTCGTCGCAACTTCAGTTCGTGGCAGTGGTTGATACGAACTGAGGCACAGGATTTCGAGCTCCAAGATAGGGTTAAGTGGTTCCGGCTCTTCCTAATCCGGATTCACAAACTTGAAGGGCTGCCTTTAGCCACGCATTATGTCCGTCCCAGTTCACGCACCACTGTGTTCTGGGCACATTGCCTGACATGCCGCATGGACGAAGCGCGCTTCCAACAAGTTGAGGACTACATCCACAAGTTCAAGGCCACGCTAGCATGTGGTGCCGACCTTGGGGCTCTCACTCTGTAGTGATTTTCCAGGGACATGGCGTCCCCCGCGAAAGCTGCGGCGCCGGAGACTCTCGGAAAAGCGGAAAAGTGGAGGCCATCGCTCTTAGGTGGAGGCCATCGCTCTTACGCTCTTAGGTTGGAGGCCGTCGCTCTTAGGTTGGAGGCCATCGCTCTTACGCTCTTAGGTTGGAGGCCATGACTGACTGAGAGTTACAATGGGCCATCAGAGGTTGGATGGCACGGTCGGGCCCCCAAAAGGTAGGTGGGGCAATTATGGCGGGGCAATTCATTATGGACCCCCGTATAAAAGACATCTTTGGGTTTGTGCCATCTACTCTGAAACTACAGTACAGCAAATGGCGTCATTTTGACATCTGATTTGATCATCTGAGCGTGTACTGAAGCTTTGGATTCAAGTGCCGCCCAACAAACTGAGACTTGGACCCTCAAAGAGTTTGGCAGAAAGACTGCCTCGCCTGCATGAATCTTAACTCGCTCACTCTCGCCATAGAGGAACTCAATTGAACCATGGTCACAAACAACCTCAGCTGGAGCTTCACCAAATCAACCATCTGACCTTCCACCATCAAACAAACGTTGACTTCGACTGCTAATTATTTTTACGTAGACCTTTAGACCTGTGGTGCCTCTATGTGTGTTTTTGTTTATTCTTATCTGTTTCTTTTCATCTCTGATTCTGTTCTTTCCTTTCTTTCTCCAGATGTTTCAACCTTCTTTCGTTCTTTTGTGCACCAAACTCTTCTCCTCTTTGGCTCCAGTGCCGTGGAACGAACTCGTCAAACAAAGGCGCCTGGAATGCCTCCTCGGAGGCTCCTAGCAGACTAGCCGAGAGTGCCGACAGGGTCATAATACTTCCGAGCAACTCGAGAGCGTACAAATTTCACTAATTAGGAACAAGTGCCACGCTACTAGGAACAAGTGCCACGCTACTAGGAACAAGTGCCTTACTAGTAGTAACAAGAAGCTATTGGTTTACTGTAGTAGGTGATTTCCCAAGGCACGGTACAAACAGTGTGCACTGCATGCACCAGATTGCTAGCACATTGAGGAAGAGTCCGAAGAATGGCCGATTTGGGAAGGTCTGCCGTGCTTGTCACAGGGTCCCGCTTGCCAAATGCATCCAGCCGACCTGGCCTTTCACTACAGCCCGCGCCAGGGAGCACGCACCATCATTTGATGCTACTTTACCAAAGTGCTCGCTGATGGTAATTCCTGGCAAGAATCTGAAGGGCAAACTTGACTTTAAATGATCTTCAGTGCCTTTCTTTCCACTATAAAATCTCTCGCAGTAAATCATAGGATACCAGAGCGGCCAGGTCTGCCACCCGTCGCAACAAGTCCCGACCAGGTCTACCGTTCAGGTCGGTTCCTGGTGCATCCACCACGTCGACCTTCTCCACCACGACCGGTGTAAGCCCACTGACCTGGCCACTTGATGCCATGGCAGGAAGAAAGCGTGGAACAACTCCATGCACATGTTGCTTCAAAAGGCCTCAGCTCCTTCATCAGAGTGCTCCACATGTGCCTGGGGCGCATGTCAAAATATAGGCACATGATCAAGATCTTGCCTTTCTTGCTTTCTTTTGCCCGTGAACAAAAACGAGTCTGGTCTAGGCATCCAAAACTGAAAGATCCTTCCAGTTCAACTTGTAGCTTGCCACAACCCCCATTGCAGCATAGCCGCTAGCCTCTCTCCATTGAAGGCAAGGTGCTGGAAGGCTCACCACTGTATAGGCACCCTCGCACTTGCATTCGACTGCAAGTCCATGAGGAAGCAAAACACTTTGGCCAGCGTCAATGCTGCAGCTGCCACCTAGGCCCAGGCAAAGCCAAAACACACACATGAAATTAATGCAAATTAACGATGCGCTGTGTTTCATTCACTCATATAAATTGGATTGACCTTGGCCCGGCACAATGCTAGTATCTTAAATCTTATAAAATCTCTCACTTGCCACCATTGTGTGCAATGTTTCACACTGAGGAAAAGGATCGTAGGAATGATAAATTGTGTGGGAACAGCAATTGGGAGTGCCTCACACATATGAAATCATATGAACAAGTACACACAAACACAGGACGTCTGCCTGCAAAGGTCAGCTCCATAGCACCTTCGGTGCAAATAATGTGCTCCTAACAGGCCCAGCCAAGGATGAGCTGATGGAACTTGTGTCTTTACTATATCTGGTGGAAATCATCCCCTGCAACAATTTATGCCTTACCTGGATGTGCACCTAGGGTTGGATGCCTTCCTGTTACGCAGGCGTCCACACGAACAGTATATGACTTGCTGCTTCCTAGCTGCCTTGATGAGTAGCTCTGCAGAGCATTGCGTCTACGGCACTTGTGCATCCCTCTCCTTTAGCCCTGCAGGCTTCTTGCGCACCCCAGCTTTCGACTGCACCATAGACAAGGAAACATCTTCCTCTCGCAAAGACCAAGAGTCTGTCTGTCAAGGTCGCTCTTTGGACACCGATTTCACCATGATCGAACGCAAAGGAAGCATGTGGGCATATCTTGGCAATCTTCTGGTGATGGGTGGTCCTAGAGCCAGACTTGGCATACCCTGTATGACGGCCTCTATATAGATGCCTCTGCAAGCTTGCATGCACATGTTTTTCCATGGTTGTCCTGCTTGGAGGCGGTCTTGCCAAAGTACTCCACACTGATCAAATCAGGCCTTTGTTGCAATCCAAATCACAAGCAAGAAAACAGGGGTTGGCCAGCCCCCTTGAGAAAAAACACAACTCATGTCTCACTGTGTCGCCACGATGCTGAGGTCGCCACAACTCATGTGTCGCGACTGGCTTAACGATCAAGGGAGCAAGTGGCGGCATGTTGTATGTTGTCAGGGAATCATGTCCTTTTATGGATCTGACCGCCCAAACCTGTGACCTTTGTCTTTTTGTGGGTGTCTCTCTTTGTCCATCTTTTAGGAACGGGACTGCGCAGCAGTCTCGCTGCGCTGCATCGAATCGAAAGTGGAAGACTGGCTGCATACGGTATACGGTAGCATAGTGACTGGCTGCAATACGCCTGGATTGTTTCAGCTTTCAGGCTTTCAGCTGGGCAGTTCTTTGATGTTATTTGGCGTATGCTTACAAGTTGGAGTTGCAGCACAAATGGCCACCGGGAGCAACTCAAAGAAAAAGCCAGCTGCTTCGGGTCCAGAAGGGCCCAGGCAAATCATCAGAGCTGTGCCATGCTTTCGAGTTGCCTGCCGATGCGCTTTGCATGTGGTCATTTGCATGGTTGCATGAAAAGAAAAGAAGAACAAGAGCATCCAAGCAAGACAGGTAGCATTGTTCCGCCACTCTCTCCCTCTCTCTCTCTCTCTTTGTGAAGCGATTGAACCAACCAGTCCTTATGACTCTGGGGTGGCGGAAAGGTGCCACAGACTTCTCATATATTATAGTATATGATGTCAGTATTGATCAATTCACGTCCACCATCTTGCTATGTTCTATCCAGCATGAATGAAACTTCTATCTCAGCCGTGTCTCCTGTTTTTTTTTGTTTTTAATGGGCTGTGTGCAGCGATTTCACTTGACACATGGGGCTGTGTGCAGTTCACCCAAATCATACGTCAGCATCAGCTAATCACCTCCTCAGCACACCCGGAGTCGCCTGGCGGACTTGCTCATAAAGCTCCTGCAGCCAGGAGTATTGGACGAATGAGAAACCGCAGAAGAATCACCCTCTCTGCACTTGAGATGATATCATTCAACAATTATATAGATTTAAAAGCATAAATAAAACTTAACCTGTCAGCGGGCTCTCCGCCCTCGGTACCCAAAATGATCGCTGCACCACGCGCATGTTCTACTCGCTTGCGGACAGCCATGGAGAAGTCGCGACCAGAGAAGTATCGGGCCAGCCTTGCGAGGGAAGCGGTCCAAGGCCACGATCTTTCCTGATTCGCAAAGTTCGTGTCGTACGTCGCAATTCTTGTCCGTACTTGGGAATCAATACAAGGGGTCAGTGCCAGGTATCCCATTGGTCGTACCACCCAAGAAAAGTATCTTCTCTAGGAAAATCAGACACTCAGGTGCTGACCCTTCGCGGTCATCTCCAATGAGAAGAGCCTCCAAGGAAGGTCTGAGGCGGGTCTCTCTATGTCTCGCTGCATTGGCAGTGAATGCTCATACTCCTTGAAAGTACGTTCTTCCAAGGACGCTACTAGGGGCTCCTGGCCTTACTACTAGGAGCAAGGACGCTACTAGTAGCACCGAGCAAAGGCCACCTATATAGCTTCGCCTAAGCAATGCACCGTTAGCTCCTGCCAAGGCGCAAAAGGTGTGTGGTGTGCTCGCTGATCGTCTCCCAGTTGGCGCCTGGTCTCTCCCACGGGTGTGTTCAACGGTCTGTGAAAGGCCACCCACATTCTTGTTGAGGTCAGTGCTGAATTGGACTAGTAGTAGCTCGAAGCTACTAGTAACAAGGGCATTGCTACTAGGAACAAGAAGCTACTAGTAGCAAAGGGCATCACAGTGTCAAGTGAGATAAATGTTTGAAGAACCCGAAGACAGGTACGAGAAGAACTTGAACTAACAAAGCTAATTGCTTGTAGCAGCCAAGCAATTTTACAAATCTGAAATCATCCATTTTCCCTTGTCCGGCTTTGTCCCAGTAATTCTTGAAACGAAACAGCCACTGACAGACCGACAGCGCTTCTTTCAAACCGAAGGCGCCACTCGACCGGCAGAAGTCCGACGCCTTCATAGCGCCACTCCGGGAGGTAAGCAACCTCAACTCATAGTGCCAACCGAGATGTTTGTGACATATGAGGTGCGAACGTTTGTTTGACCAACAAAATGGGTGACATCGACAACATATGAAAAACTATGTCAATATTATGTCATATGATATGTCATATATGTCAACATATGTCCTCCCTATCAGTCGCGTGGAATTGCTTGGATTGCTTCCATGGCACGGAAGAGACGGAGGTCTCAGACTCGTCTCGTCGGTTTCAGACCGTGGCTCCGCGGGTTTCCGCGGTGGCTCCGCGGAAACGTGAAAAGGAAGCTTAAGCGTGGGACAACAGCAACGGGGTCACTGGGCTGGCTGCCTGATCGGAATCTCAAGAAGTCTCACAGCAAATTTCCAAGTCATGCTGAAGAAGAGCCAGTTTCGAGAAGACCAAGCTTTGCAAGACTGGAGATCCTGGTTCTTCGGGTTTCGACATTCTTCCAGATGCCCTTTTTCCTTTTTACCCGCGCTGTCTGTCGCACCTCCAAAATACTCTGCCTTCGCGACAAAGAGAAACAGCAGCAGCACCTGTGGCGCCAAAAATGCGCATCTTAAGTCTGCGATGAAGGTGTCAAAAACATTCGCCTGGTCCTCCTGGCACATTCTGCCAATGCAAGATGGTAAAATGGATAAGAATTCCTTCCTGCATCATGTGCACATGTTGTCACACAGCTGCATATCGGTATCCTGGGCTGAGCGCTTCCTCCCAGTAACGTTTTGTCATGATGGCACAGTCCGATCAAGCTTGCTTAGCGCCAAGTTTAGGCGTAATTGATGTAAGCATGCCAGCATGTGGCGCACACTTATAGAAATGCGTACTGATGTGAATGCGGTGCCACACCCCGGCGTAGGTTACCGTTTCCTAAGGGTCCAAGTACGGACCACTGGAGCCTGGAGGTCTTCAAAAGGAGAGAAGTCCAAAAGCGCAAGTCGAAGTCGAAGCGACAAATGACGGCGTATCGTGCATGACTGCCGAACTCATTAGACCTTTACGAAATCTTAAAGTTTGTGCAGGTACACAAGAAGGCGTCCCTTCTCGCTTCGCCAGTCGTGAGCACGTCTTCGTTGGTCCAGGGCCAACTCACAACTGCCTGGACCCCCTGCTAAAGAAATCAAAAGGTAAACGAATGCAACAGGAACCTCGTGACTCCAGAGGGTACACACACACACACGCCTCCCCTAAAGGAGGCGTCCTTTTCAGCTAAGCTCCAGACGGGGGTCAGTGTCAGGTTGAGTGAAAATGGGGTCTATGAAAAACGGTGAGTCGCCAAGCGGGAACGAAGCATCCCCAAAATGAGTTCCAACAATTCACGTACATGAAGAACTTCCCGACGAAGAACTGCCTGAGCCACCATAGGGATAGGGATGCCCTCCATCGGTGCCAGGCCAGCAGGAGATGGTGGCATGGCGGGTGGAACGTGAACAGGGGGGAGGAACTCATTACACTCTGAGGCTCTGACAGGCTCCAATGAACCTTGAACAAGCTTCGGCCGCTGCGGCTACGTACGCCGTGCCAAAATGGCTGGCTGCTTAGACTGCTGCGGTCACGTAAAGGCATGAGCCAGCTTGGAGTTCAATAACTCAGCAAGTCTTGGCAAATATCTTTGGCCTAAGCCTACTCTGTCCGCTTCGGACACCTTCGTTCCCGGGCAGGGGGAACAACGACAAACCACCGCTCGACGGGTCCACAGGGGACACTCCTCGGGGCACCCGGGGCTGGCATAAGCCAGACACACTTATAGAAATGCATACTGATGTGAACGCGGTGCCACACACCGGCCTAGGTTACCATTTCCTAAGGGTGCAAGCACGGACCACTGGAGCCTGGAGGTCTTCAAAAGGAGAGAAGTCCAAAAGCGCAAGTCGAAGTCGAAGCGACAAATGACGGCGTATCGTGCATGACTGCCGAACTCATTAGACCTTTACGAAATCTTAAAGTTTGTGCAGGTACACAAGAAGGCGTCCCCTCTCGCGTCACCAGTTGTGAGCCCGTCTTCGTTGGTCCAGGGCCAACTCACAACTGCCTGGACCCCCTGCTAAAGAAATCAAAAGCTAAACCAATGCAACAGGAACCTCGTGACTCCAGAGGGTACACACACACACCACGGTGAGTTTCCGTGTCCGCCCAAGCGAACCTTCATAAGGAGACCGAAGACCGCTTGCAACGGCCGGAAACTAATTGCATGTCTGGCATTGGTTCTTGGGTCGCAAGATTGAAACAATTACACTCGTTTGAAATTCCATTGTCCTTGAAGGTTCTTCTGGTGGGATGGAAGAAGCTACAGTGTGGGAAACGAGGATGCTCCAGCTGATTGCTTGGTTTCACACGTACACGCACTTCTAGAACGTTTTTTGAAAGCACCATGGGCCGTCCAATCCATTGCGCCTGCCTTAAAAGGCATCAACTTAAGCCGCTTGGCTTTGAAGCCGCAGGGCTGCAGTGGACCGGACCAACTGTTCGGTTGCTCACACAAAAAAAGACAAGGCATTCAAGAGTGGCACCAACTGCACCGATTCCGCGGCAAGATTCAAACCACAGTGGAACAATGTGGAACACGGGCACCGAAGTCCATCGACGATCTAAGGTCACATCGGTTGTAGCACGTCGTAACCCAGCCCTTTCAACAGTCGCATCGATGAGTCCAAGTCAACGGTCCTTTCTATGTGGTCGAAGGAGAACGTGGGATCCGGTGTGTAGATGTGGGAGACCCCTGACACCCTGGCATCAACTCTTTCAGTACCTGTTCATCTAAAAGTGGTCTGAGATTGTTGCCAACGCAGTCGTCCTTTTGTCCAACGGCGGACTGATTCGCGAATCGATTCTTCCGCCATCATTCTGCTCTCCGCTTCTTCCTGCGGGCCGGGACGATGTTCCACAATCCATGCAAGGCCATTCAGAGCCTTGAACATTGCAGCATGCTTGCAAGACAATCTTTATAGGGTTGAAGCCCTATTTTCCACCACTTTTTGTTGCGGACAGCGATGCCGGTGATGCCTATGGTTTGGAGTTCTTCTGACGACTTAGGCATGTTCTTCCTGACTCCATTTACTGCGTCCAAGTCCCGTCCACCGTCGCCCCCCCACAAAATCGTCCCCTCTGCAAACGAGCAGCTTATTGCTTCCGGCTGTCGGCACACCTGGAACGGAACCGGTTGTCTTTGGTCTAGTCACAGTCTGTTCCTGAGGGAGGACTGTCCCTGTGGCCAGCTCACCAGTTTCCATGATGTACAAACCAATCTCCGTTGCTTCGCGGCGTTGTTTCGCCGATGTGTTCGGAGCTTTCCCGCCGCCCTTGGGCGGCTTCCGGTCGGAGCCGCGCGCGCGCGCGCGCGTTGCAGCCGCGCCGTGACCGCCTGAAGCACCAAAGGCAAAGATGTTGTCGGAGCCTGAACCTCACGGTCGGGTCGGACTGTCTCTACCGTCCCAACGAGGAGACGACCCGGCAAGCGAGACCTTTTTGACCTTTTTTCGCGGAGGAGGACTGGAGAGGGATGTGAGGACTTGACAGGAAAAAACTCGACGATGATGATGATGATGATGATGATGATGGATGATGATGCATGACGATGCATGATGATGCATGATGATGCATGATGATGATGATGATGATGATGATGATGATGATGATGATGATGAT